ATGGTTATGTGAGGTTAGCAGTCTTGTTTTGGGATCTTGGTTGGGGGTCATATATTTCTGAATTCTTGCTGTTTGAGTGGTTTACACCAATGTCTGTTCCTTTTATCTATTAAATTTCATCTTTTTCCCCTGCTTTCCTATCTCAGACGTTATCTTGACATTTTGTTTTTTGTTTTTTGTTGTTGCTATTTTTGTAGTATATCAATCCAATTGTACAAAATTCACAGCATCCTCTGAAAGCAAACTTATTGTATGCAATTGAAAGGATTTTGAAGCTCTCAGTGCCAAATTTGTACGTTTGGCTGTGCATGTTCTATTGCCTTTTCCACCTCTGGTGAGTTGATTGCTACATCTCCATCAATCATATTGTACCTTTGACTAGTGTAATAGGAATGGGTCCATTGAAAAACATGATCAATCATCTTAAATTGAATAGAGGTAATCTATGTTAGCTTGAGCGGAAGTGGAGAATGGGTCGGACAAAGGTTAAATTCATGTTTAAATGTTTAATGGTGGGACTAATATAATACTAGTAATAAAGTTAAGTCCTTTTTTTACGAATTCATGTTCAATAATGAGGAGTCCTCAGAGGGTTGTTTCCTCTATAAAGATTAAAGAGTATGAACAAAGTTTGCTATTAGGCTATTAGCCATAGCAAACTAATTTGTACTCTGAGCAAAGAACAACTCTTGTAATATACGGAGTACTTTGTAATAATTAGATAAATAAATAGATACATTCATAAGATGATATGAAGGAACTCATAATAAGAGTGCAAAAAGTGGTAAGCCTCACAATATTTGAAGTTATATAAAGTGCAAATTCAACTACCAAACATAGTAGTTGTCCAAGATCTAACCAATGTAATCAAATTCTCTCTTTCTTTGTCAAAAAAAAAAAAAAAAATTCTCTCTTTCAAAATTAGCCAAGTCAGCTATCACGATCAAAGATGATTTATTATTTTAGTATCCATCCAAAGTTTTGAAAGATCAATAAATCTACAATCCATTTTTTATTTTTTTTTAATTGACTGAAACATATGAAAATTGACATATATCCAGGATTTTATCCCAAGTAAAGGCCATAAATTATTCCAGTAATGGAGCAAGAGTTTAATGGTTTTGATGAGGATTCTACTGTTCAGAATCAAGATTCTACTCAATATACCACTAGTGGCAGTAAGCGTGGACGAACATCAGATGTTTGGAGGTATTACACCTTTTTTGATAAGATGGTTGGTCTTGCTCTGATAAAATATGCTCGATGCAATGTTTGTGGTAATGAATATAAAACACCAGGTAATGTTGGTACTTCAACTTGTAAAGCTCATACTAAGACATGCATGAGTAAAAATCCACACCATCCTGGAAATAATGAAAGTGGTGTTGAGCTCCCGTTTAATCAAACTCGTCATTTACAATTGCTTGCTAGAGCTATAATTTTGCATTCCTATCCTTTAAGTATTGTGGAGCATCATGGCCTTAGGGAAGTTTTTACGAATTTGAATTCCAACGTGAATCATGTGTGTAGAAACACTATTTTGAAACATTGTATTGTTGAGCATGATAAGTTTAAGTCGATGTTGTTGCAAACTTTTTCTGGAGTTGAAGGTAGAGTTAGCTTTACTTGTGACTTGTGGACAGCATGCACTAATCGAGGTTATCTTACTTTAACGGCACATTATGTTGATAAAAATTGGTGTCTTAGGTCTAAAATTCTGAATTTTAGATATTGTGGTCCTCCTCATACTGGTGTGTTGAGGTAGAAAAATTTGTGCTAAAACTTATTGGGGAATGGAACCTTCGGGGTAAAGCTTTTGCAATGACTGTTGATAATGCTCGATCCATGGATGTTATGGTTAACCTTTTGAAGAAAGATTTAATGTTGACTTCTCCTCTTCCTTGTAATGGTAAATTTTTTCATATTCGATGTTCAGCTCATGTCTTGAACATTATTGTTCAAAGAGGTTTAAAAGAAGTTGATAGTAGTGTTCAAAAATTGCGTGAGGTTTGTAAATATATTGATTCTTCAGACTCTAGACTCACTCAATTTGAGCATGCTCTTCATGAGGTTAACTGTGTGTTTAATGGAAAGTTACGTCTTGATGTTGTGACTCGTTGGAATGCCACATATACGATGCTCCGAAAAGCTTTGGAAGCCAAGGAAGCCTTGAAATTGGTTATTGATAGGTTTATGGGTTATGAATTCAAACTTTCAAATGATGAATGGGATACCCTTACTAAAATATGTAATTTCCTAAAGCCATTTCATGAGATCACTGTATTATTTTCTGGTTCAGAATATCCTACTGCAAATTTGTATTTTGCTAGTGTTTTAAAAATTGAGCACACAATAAGTAAAGCCCATATAGATTCTAAACATGCACCCATGGAAAAAGTTATGCTTGAAAAGTTTGAGGGCTATTGGGATGAATATAGTTTGATCCTTTCAATTGCTATTGTTCTTGATCCTCGTTATAAGCTTGTTCGAGTGACGAAGATGTTAAAAGTGCTTTATGTTGATGAGGCATGTGTTGAAAAGGCGAAAGTGATTAAAGATGCTCTTTTGGAGTTGTATAACTTTTATTCTTCTATGTCTTTCGGTTTTACATCAAGTATAATTGCTCCACCCTCCATTTCAGCTGTTATCGATAATTCAAATAGTCACTTGGATGATGATATATTCAAGGTAATCAATTTCTGTTTATTATGGTTTACAAAATTAATAATTGTATGTTTTAATTTTATTATTTAATAAAAGCATTTTGTTTGAACTTTTCTAGTATGTTGATAATGATGATGATGATGAGGATGACTCATCAAATCGGCCATCGATGGAGATTGATTCTTATTTGTGTACTCCTCGGCAACCAATTTATGAAGGGCAGAAGTACGATGTTCTTAAGTATTGGGAATCTCAAATTACTGTGTACCCCATATTAGCTGTTATGGCTAGGGATGTTTTGGCCATTCCTATTACATCGGTAGCCTCAGAGTCTTCTTTTAGCATGGGTGGTCGTATTTTAAACAAGTATAGGAGTGCGCTTTTTCCTAAGAATGTCGAGGCGTTGGTGACCACACAAAACTGGTTACGTGGTTATGATTGTGATATTGAAGAAGACGTCCTTGAAATTGGTAAACAAGTGATAGATGAAAGTGTTGCATCTAATTAAGAAGACGTGATGTTGTATTGTAGTGAACTAGTGATGTTTAATATATATTGTGTTGCTTCATTGTTAAAATGTTTTAATTTCATAGAACAAGTATTAATAGTTTTAGTCACATTACATATTGATATGTTGTTCCTTATTTGTCTCGAATTATTGGTTATTATTTCTGTCCCGCTAAATATTCATCTTGACCTGCAACCGACTCGCCCCTTAAATGATTTGCATCGACCCACACTGACACGCCCAATAACCACTCTTAGTAGTAAGTAGTTTGTAAACGGTTCGATTTATAAGAATTCGGTTCATAAACAGTTCGGTTTATAAGCGGTTCGGTTTATAAACGGTTCAGTTTGTAAACGGTTCGGTTTGTAAACGGTTCGGTTTGTAAACGGTTCGGTTTATAACGGTTCGGTTTATAACGGTATTTATGACGGTTTAAACGGTTTCGGTTTGTAAACGGTTCGGTTTATTTTCGGTTCGGTTTCCTTTCCGGTTCGGTTTAGATTTGGTTCGGTTCTAAAACGGTTTAACGTTATTCGGATCGGTTCGGTTTCGGGTTTACTAAAATGCGGTTCGGGTCGGTTTTTCGGTTTCAAAAAATCGGTTTTTAATCGGTTCGGTTCTCATTCGGATCGGTTTGAATCGGTTCGGTTTCACCGGTTCGGTTCGGTTTTTGACAGTGCTAGTTGCATTAGATGAACCACGACATTAAGCTCTCTTGCTCTGCTTAACCTCCATATTTATCAGGAAAAAAAAAGATAAACAATATTTGTGGCATTTATATTGATTAATTTGGACTAGAGTTTTAATCTGTTTCCTTTCTCCAAAACCTATTTGCCAAAAGAACTTTGATGACCCAATATCCCTAAAGTCAAACACAATTGAAGATGAAAAATAATATCATAGTGTCAGATTAGCTCAGCCAAAAAAAAAAAAAAAAAAAAAAAAAAAAAAAAAAAAACCAAGAGTTAATAGAAATTTATGTATTGCACATTCAGGAAATCCAAAGATTCACACTTAATAAGTATTAAATCTTACAACATGTGTTTTTAGCATTGAATTAAATTACACATACTCAAATTTATTTTAGAATAACAAGATGTGTGTTACTCTATTCGGAGATCAAATTAAAGTTTCTAACGAAGCTATTGCATACAATGGAGAGCATGAAATCTCTAATGCTATTGTGAAGCCACTAGATGACCAATGACGTACTGTCCATGATCAGTTACCATTTCAACTACATTTCAGTCATCGAACAGTTGTTCAACCAGTCTGCCCTAAAACAGGCCATGTGGTACCACAATATCAGTCAATAGCTTCAATTCCAAGAGTGCAGCTGATGAAAGATATGGTATTATCATATACTTAAGCTATTACTTATATCCTACTACATATGTATGTATCAATCATTAAAAATTTGTTAATAACACATATTTTCGGCCAATTGATACAATTTTCAGTGAATTTGACGGAGATAGTGAATATGGTATACCCATTATATTTAGGGGCGGCAAACGGATAAGGTCAGATCGGGTTTGTGTTCGGGTTTTCAGGTTTTATCAGCTAACCCCCAACCTGAACCTGATCCATTTAAGTTTTCGGGTTGAAAACCCCAACCTGAACCTGATATTTTCAGGTTCGGGTCAACCCAAAATTGACCTGATTTTTTATTGGGTTTAAATGAGGTTGATTGACCTGAAATTGACCTTAAAAACCTGATTTTTTTCAAATAACATTTTGTTTCAAACCACTTAATATTTTCAAAGACACAAGTTTGTATTCTAGTTCTCAAACAATATTAAAGGATGCATCATGCAATAAAACAATATTTTCAATGCTTCAAGCCTTCAACCCCAACCAAAATAAAATTGTCTACCAAAGTAAAGTAACAATCCTACTTAACGAATTACAAGCCAATTGATGTCCTACTTGATGAATTACGAGCAAATTAAAGTCCTACTTATCGAATTACAAGCCAAATGAAGTTCTACTTAACGAATTACAAATATACTAAGGATTTTAAAACACAAATTTGTATTCTAGTTCTCAAACAATATTAAAGGATGCATCATGCAATAATAGGACTTTCATCAACGGTTCAAATTAATCTCCTCCTCACCGGAAGAAATCTGCAAAAAAATTATAACAAACTATTAAAACAAAATTTACTAAAGTAACAATACAAGAATAACATGCTGATAATTTCCAAACATGCATAGATCTAAATTAAATCAGTAATAAAAGTATAAATCATGCCAAAACAAAAATACTACTGAAGTAATTATACAATAATAACATACAAAAACATGTTTACACATGCATAAGATATTAAGATCTAAATTAAATCAGTTTATAAAACATCTAAAGCAACAACAAGATAACATAAATCTAAATTATATCAGCAACTAACAACACAACAACCACAGATAATTTAAGCATATCAACAAGAACAACAACAAATATATGAAAGCAAAATCGTAGAAAATGAAAATCGAAATCAGTAAATTACCTTTTCGATTGATATAGGTTGAACACTTGAATGGTGAAGGAGAAGTGCGACTCACATAGAACAATGGCTCAACGTCTCAACTCTCAAGTTGTTTGAATTCTCTAGATCTGGAGAGAGAAAGAAAAAATGAAACATGAGAGGAAAAGTAAGAGTGACGGCTGAGAGTTAAGAACGTGTAGGATTTTAGGGTTTAGATTTTGATTTTATAAAACCTTTATTTGGGCTTGGGCCATCAAAGCTATTTAACTTTTTTTTTTTTTGAAGGGATCAAAGCTATTTAACTTATACGGGTTTTTTATTTTTTTATTTTTTTTTCCGGGTTAGATGGGTCATTTTCGGGTTGAAAATTTCAACCTTAACCTAACCCATTTAATTATCAGGTTGGGTTCGTGTCGACCCATTTAAGTTTTCGGGTCAAAAATCTCAACCTAAACACGCTATTTTCAGGTCGGGTTCGGGTCGGGTTTTCGTGTCGTGTCAGCTTTTGCCAGCCCTAATTATATTACTATCTACATATTTATGCACCTAACTTTTCCCAATTTTTAGATAGCTTATTGATCTGAAAATTTATTCAAATTATACAGATGTATTGGGAGTGGTACTATTTGTAGAAGAAGAAGCACGACAAGTCAACTCCAAATATAACAACCAAAGCTATGTCCGTGAGATTGTCATCATAGATCAAATGTAAAAAAAAATAATACTTTACTAATTCATAACATAATTATGTTACTTGTGCAATTACTTAACTAACTGGTTGTTTATTTACTACAACCATAACCAGACCTTGACCACATCTGCATGGAATGACCTCTCAGGAGCTGCAAATGATGCTCTTAATTTCTAGGCTAAAAGATTTGACTTAGTTGGCTTCACAACACTTAAACACAATCCTCGCAGAGGTAGAACCACATAAACTAATTAATTTAGAAGAAATCCTACTTATTGTTCGTACGAATTAAAAGGCTAACATGTCATCTATTGTGCAGCATTTGCCTTATCAACTAGCATGTCTACAAGGATTATTCATAACCCAAAAGGAGATAGGGTGAATGTCTTACGTGAATGGTAATTAAAGTCATTACAACTACTAATTAATAGCAAATAATTACTCTAACTTCTTAAACTCTCATTCGTGATAACATAATTATTTGCTATACATGTATAGGGCTGTTGCACAAAAGCAGCTACTACAAGATAGACAAGCAAGAGTTTTACAGATTCGAGATCTTACACAAGAACACTATGAAAACAATTGAAGAACTGAAAGACAAGAAGGTATAAGAATTATAGATAATGTCTTTGTTTAGAATTAAAATAATACAGTATTAATATTATTTTCATAAATTCATGTAGGCTGCAAATGCACTGATGGAAGAACGTCACTGGATTCAAGCTATCATTCCAAATGCTACTTTGGATGATGTATTTGTTTACATAGGTTGTTCTGGTTGTGGAAAAAATACAGTGTTCCTGATGGAAGACAATTCACATGCATTGTCTGTGACAACAAGAACTGTGTCTCAGCTCCAAGGTTAGTTAAAACCCAACTTTTAAAACAATCAATGATATAATTTAACAATACCTTTATATTTGATCTATGTAAAAGCTTAACTTATTAAGCTATCAGGTGAAAAATGCAATTAACCCTATCATTAACTTTATCATTTTTTTGTTGTACAGGATTGCTTTTAAATTCGAGGCAGTTGATGTGACAAGTTCAATAACATTGACATCGTTCAACAATGACATAGAGAAATTGTTCGGCAAGAATGCAGCTGAAATCAAAGCTATGAAAGATCTTGTATGGCTCTTTTACATAATACTTCTAATAAATTTACACTTAACTTAAAAGCAATTGGAAACATTCTACTTATAATGAATATTGTTAATAAGATACATATCCTTTCAATGCTATATTTCAATTAGAATAGCTTACAATACACTGATAAAATATATGCTAATTACAAATGTATTTTCTAGGGTGATGTGGTTGCATTTCAAGCGATTGAAGAAAAACTCAGGAAAAAGACAATTTTCTTTAAACTCGGTCCATCTAATTCACTAGGTTCAAGCAGTGTTTTAGAATGGTCACTCAAAACTATTGAAACCGCTGAAGATGCATCCAAAAAGGATATAACAAAATTAACTGTTGCAAGAAGCGATGAAATTGAATTTTCAGATTTAAATATGAATGTAGATTTTACACCAACCAAGCCCAGCGGGAGTGCTGCAGTTGATATGGAAGAAAATGTTACAACTACAAACGAAGATACACCTGATTCAAAAGCGAAGGACAAAGGGAAAGAGAAAATTTCAGAAACAACTTCCCTTAAATTCCCATTGTCACCAAAGGGTAACAATTCTAACACATATTTATAATAAACAAATCCTCTAAATTATGCATAGTAAATTCTTGAAAATTGATACATCTATATCCCAATTCCCCGGAATTGTTACAGCTGATGAAGGCCATGGGAAAATTACTCAGAGTCCCACATATGCAACACCCAAAGACCTCGGTACTATTGCTGATAGCAACTTGAAAAAAACACCCCTGGAACATTCAGCTGCTGAAACACCTGCTACTATGAAATCTCATAAGATTTTACCTTCTGAGTGGACACAACTTTGTCGCACACGCATGAGTGGAAACAAGCAGTCTCTAGTGTCCCCATCACATAATGAAGAAAAACGAACTGACTCGGTTCGTGTAAAAAGTGTTGCTCGAAAGAAACTCCATTTCACAACATCACCATCTGATGAAATTGCATATCATGATTCCGCCAACAAGGAACCAACTAATTTAGCAACATCCACTCCTGAAAGATCTGCTACACCAAACAATGATGCAAACACAGCTGTACCCAAGGATGATCATGTCACATAGACCTCAACTGACTCTCTCACTGAAGGAAATTAGCAGCAAATATTTCAGCAATGTACATAGGTAAGTGAACTAGCTACTATAAGTAACTTCTAAGGTGTGGTGCTGTCACCCCCTTTATTAAAAATATTTTGCTTGCATGATAATTACATCAGTGACATCTATTAAACATGAGGGTAATTACAGCACTTGACATTTTGATGTATTGAAGGAACGTAGTTCATACTACGTATTTCTTTCAAAAACCCTTGTTAGAGTAGATTTACTATTACAAATTTTGATGGACAAAGTTACTGCCAAGTGCCAATCATGGTTGTTGAGATTTCAGGTAAGTTTGTGTCAACGGTTTAATTAATTGAAATGTTAATTAATCCTAATTACGCTAATGAAGTCAAAGTCATCTAATCCCGTATATATAGATATGATTAGAACAAACATATTCACGGAAGTTTGGGCCACTAACTTTATCCAAATGATTACTCCCTGATAATCTACCTTTATCAAGTACATTGATTATTTGATCCGATTAATTTGTTTGCCCCAAACTTTCTTTGATCCGATTCAAAGAACATTACTTTGTTTATGTACCCTTAAAATCTGCCCTTACTCGATTAATATGCCCTGATAATCTCTCTTACTTGATTATCTGATTAATGTGCACTTATAATCTGCCCTTACTTGACTAATCAGTTTGCCCCAATGTGCTCTTAATTTTTTAATCAATGCAAATATTAATTTTAAAATGCAGTCATTAAAAATGATTCTACTATTGTTAGCCCCACTTTGCATGCAACTATTTCCTACTAAAAGCATCTCGTCCCATTTGTTTATAATAAAATCTTACAACTATTTAGTTTACAATAAATATCAAATAAACTAAAATTCATAGTGGTGATAATAAATCCACCAAATATCCAATAAACACAATCCTACAAAACTTTTGCATTTACCCCCACAAACCAACAAATAATTTTAAAACTATTATTTGAATGATTATTATTACATTATATCATTAATTTTATAGTCAATATGATATTAAAATTAGAACTATTTATACTTCTTATTGTAACAACATCTTTTGAATGATTATTATTACATTATATCATTAATTTTATAGTCAATATGATATTAAAATTAGAACTATTTATACTTCTTATTGTAACAACATCTTTTGATCCGATTCTAAGAACATTACTTCTTTTTAACATGATAAGTCAAATTACTTCTTTTTAATAACATAATTTAAGTTACATCTTTCTCATATAATAACTTAGAATGCAACATTTCCCTCTTAGATTGCCTTTAATATTTTAAATTCTTACGACATTCACACACTACGCAAACATAATTACCGTGTAACAGAACCACCGGATACATTACTTACTAATAATAATCACCGCCATTGAGTATCGCGCGCGAAGCGCACAGGACCACAACTAGTGTAGATAAAAAGAATAGATATTATGATGCATATTGGGAGCTTAGATCCAAAACGAGTATTAAACTAAACATACAACTTCTCAAATTCACTTTAGAGTTAATTACTGGTGTTAATACTTGCTACTCTATAATGATACTCAGAACTTTTGATTATACAATACAGGCACTTTCAGTTATAAATAAAACTAATTGAGTTGGATGTAAAATAAAAACAAAGTATTGGTGATAATTGAAAGTGCATAAATAGAATATCAATAGTCTTAAAAGCGTAACCCATGCCTTACTTTGACAGGCGTTTCGTCCCCAAGAGGTATGGGGTTGTTACATAGAATACATATTGAGTTTATTCTATGAGTATTTTTTTTTTTTTTTTCAAATTGAACCTTATAGTTTTCACTTACTCGTACATAAATTTTTTAACATATTAATAACATGGTTGATAATTGGTTTAGGTGGTTAAATAGTCATTCTTATTATAAGAGGTTGGGTGTTCAAATTTCCTTATCCTTATATTTTTATATGAAACTAGGGTGGCTAACGCGCACGATAGCTAACCATATCAAGAGAACTTTTTTAATCATCAGCAATATTAATAAGGCTAAAGCCCGCCCAAACATAATAAGAAAACTATAAGGTTAAAAAAATCTGCCTAAAGCCCGCCCAAAATCGAGGTGGATTAGACCGGGCTAAGTATGATCAGATCTTGTTCTTTGTCATCAGCAATATCAACATTAGGGTTTGTGGGCATGTTAGGTAATCCGTATTAAATACCCCTAATAAAAAAATAAGAAAAAAAAACAACTCTGCAACAGCCATAAACTGTCGCAAATTACGGTGGTTTTCAAAACCGTCGCAATTTGCGACAGTTTATGGCTGTCGTAAATATTTAATTTTTTTATGATTATTTTTAATGTCTATTACGACAGTTTTATTGCCAAAAACCGTCGTAAATCAACGACAATTTATAAAAACCGTTGTAATATTACGACAACCACTAAAATCGTCGTAGAATTAAAAAATTACGAAAATTTTGATAGCTGTTATAGAAAAACTGTCGTTATTTGCCCGGATTTTAGTAGTGTAATTACCTCACGAGCGAAAAACTAGTTTATCCTTAAGGAATTAATTACTTACTAATATTTTTTTTGGTGGGTGACAATTTCATTGTTTTTTGTGATTTACTATCTAAATATATATGAACACATTATTGTTGCAAGTTTTACTCTATTTTTAAATTTTGCAAATGTAACGAATTATTGCCTTCCATAATATTATTTATTTTTACATAAGAGACCATGCATGTATAGATATACTTAACCTCAAATAAAAAAATAAAAAAATAAATAAATAAATAAAAAGCAACTTGATTGTTGAAAGTTTAATTGTAAGCCGTCTAGTTCACGCATCAACGAGTAAACTTAGTC